TTAATTAATTAATTAATTAATTAATTAATTAATTAATTAATTAAGTTAAAGGGTAAGGTAAGTTAATTACGTTTTTATTTCTTTCTTTTCTTCGTTTTTTCTTTTTTTTTCTTATATATATATATAGAAATCATTCGACTGACATCGTTCAAAACTTTGCCCTGATCAAAGAGAAGAACGTAAAATTGCATTCCCGTGGCTGCTTGGGCCAACGTTAACCCGCAGCGAAACGCGATAACAAAACATCTGGCTCGCACAAAGCAAATTGTAGAACGAGTTTCATTTCCCTTTGCAACAATCAGCCCGACCTGTTTACTGTTCCCGGAGGAAATCGGATTTCCTGATACGAATAGACAGATATAACTAGATAGAGAAAGGTTACACGTTCGTCTGCCTCATCCACGAAGCCCGTTAACGTCCTTTTAAGAGACAAAAGGTCCGTCTAACTCGCGTAACGACGTTAATCCCGCCGGATAGAAATTATTCCCTTGCGCTTGTTCGATGGGAAATTGTGCTCTCTTATCGCATGACTTGAAATCTTTCCATTTGGAAAAAAAAAAAAAACGTTCGATTTTCGAGTATAATGGAAAAAATGAATATTATGACGTTCATAATGGAAAAAAAGAAGAAAGATCGCGTTGGACGCGTGCGTGAAACGAGTTCATAACTCCATCGATTTAGAGAGTATTCGCCGATGAAGGAGTCGTCTTGACACGATAATAAATATTGGTCTGGTTTCAACCCTCTGTAGGGGGTCGAAAGGCCATCACACTAGATGGCAATAAATACTCCTTTCCCCTTTAGCATCTCGCGGACCCCTAAATTCCGAACGTGGAGGCGAACGATTCCAAGGTCTGTCTGCACGCTTAAACGCTCCTCCTACTCGTTTCGCGCCGTGCGATGGGTGCAGGTATACCTGAGATTGTTTTGCACTCACCTCGCTCCATTTATTGGTCTCCCACATGGGACACGAGATGGTGTTGCAAGTTTCTTGGTTACGAGGCTTGTGCGAGTTGTTGCATTTGTGGTCGGGTAACTGAAACGATAAAGATTTAAAGTTTCTTTTTTGGATTATTGATCTAAAAAAAAAAGAAAAAAAAAACGAAACAGATTTCTTTTCTTATTTTTTCTTTTCTCGATCATTACTCGAATCGATTTCGAGTAATTGTCACCACTTCGAGATACCGTAATTCTTCACGGATCACACACGCTTTGCACGCATTATATTTTCTTATATGGCGCACGTGACGTGTTCCATTACCGGGGAAAATATCATCCACTCGGTGCCGAGGAACTGTACAGGGGGATCAGCGTAGGAGAAGATGCAAATCCTCGCAGTGCACGATACATCGTGTCTAACCATACGTATTTCTAGCGGTACGTGTGTTCCCAGCCGCTCTTGTGTCGAGTCTCGGATGAGAGGATTTTACGGTGGTTGACGGGGAACCGCGAGCGGCCCTTGCAGTTTAAACGAACCGAACTGGGTTAGGGTTCGTCGGGTTTTACCGGGCCGACGTAGGAATGGACGACGGGCGGAAAGATGGATGGATAGACACGTATCTCTGTGACAATTCTACCAGTCATTCCAGAGATCGCGAGCGCGTCGTAAAGCCTCAAAGACGAAGGAAATTATTAACCTATTTAGGTGCAACTCCTTTCGCGCGGACTCTTGGGGATTTATATTAGAGAATTTCGAGTTCGATCTGGCGAATTATACGGCCCGTAAAATAAAAGATTCGATACGGTGGAACGAGATTCCGGAGATAAAGTGGGTCGAATTTTCGATTACGTTATCGTTATCACGGCTCGCTTCGATCCTATCCTCGAAAAGGTATATATTCTTTCTAACCATAAATCCCGTGGACGCGACGTTGAAATTTCGCGAGAAACCGAATAGATTTCCTCGTCGCGAATACGATGAAAATAAAATCTGATCGATTCTTCCGGCGCCAGACGGAGGGAAGCTGTATACTTGTTGTTGTTCCACGGCAAAAACAAAAAAAGGGAACGGATAAAATCCCGGAATTTAATATAAAGGAAATATTTAAATTATCTTTATTTCGGCCTCTATTATTTACCTTCGTAGTCTCATTGCCGTTCTCCTCGGTACAGAAAATAGTTCTGGTCCTCGATCCACCCCCGCAGCTAGCGCTGCACATGCTCCACTCGCCGGCTACCCATCTAGAAATGTGAAAAGAATCAATTCAAATGCTGGTTTAGCTGGAATCGAGGAATATATAGGTCTGTTACATAACGTTCCGCCAATGTTCATAAGCTTCGTATATCGTTATTTCCTTTTTTTGCGAACGTTAAGAATATTTGTTTCGTGAACGAATGTTTTTTCCAATTTTTTTTTCGATAACAAACCGAATTACACCATTTTCGCGTACATTCGAAAAAGCGAAAAAGCTCGACAACCGAATTAAAAATCGAGACTTTTTCCTATCCTCGGGCTGTCGCTCAGTTGGAAGTCATCTTTGATACCGCTGGGATTTTTTACGTTGAAAAAATTCGCGTGCAAATCCTAGATGAGGGTACATCGAAGATCGATACTTACAATGTTGTTGTAATTGTGCTTTCTACACGTTCGATTTCGAATTTTTTAATTGCAAGTTTTCAATGCTGAACACACGATAACTTGGAATCGATAAAATAAAACGTATAAAACACTTTTTAACGTCTAAATATTTTCTCATATACAAATCGTTCGGGACACGATTTGATCGGAATCACGAAGAAAAACAAACGTGCGTCAATTTGAGAAATGATAGAATGCGAATAAAAATACGTTAATCGCCATGGACTCTTTCAATCTCCCCTATATCGCGTGTTCGCGAGGTGAAAATGTTCAAGGATGGCCAGACGAATCCATCGATCGCCACTAACACGAAAGTTTTCCTCGATACTCGCCGACTTGTTCTCGTTTCTGTATAGAACAGCGTGTAAATACACGTCGATACGTTCACCCAGTTTCTTTCTTTTCTTTTTTTTTTTTTTTTCTTGTTATTCGAGTATAAAAAACCATTGTAACGTTAAGAAAACAAACGCTCGATAATGGATATTCTATCATCAATTCGATTCTTCTAATTTAAATTACCATTCCGATCGATTGTTTCGTTGATACCGAAACTCAATATACGTATACATATATGCGTTTTCTCTCCTACGGCGTAGAACCATCAACCACATGTTCAATTACTCTCTCTCTCTCTCTCTCAGTCTGCGCGGATTATATAGCCAATCTCTGTACGCAAATCTGATCGATCGATGTTAGTAGCTGAGAGATCGTGAGATTAATCATCAAATGTTCCGGAAAACGCGTAATGGAATTTAATTGGGCCTGTATCCCTAGCGCGACATAGAATAATAGCCGCTGAAGTATTCAGTGGCTTAATACACAGTTGCGGGTAGGCAGCGGTTTAGAAATCCCCGGTTCTCCTGGGGGATGGCCGAAACGTCGACCACTCGCACGGTCTGGTCGAACCGAATTAAACTAAATTCTCGGCCCGGCCAATTAGCACCAATTTAACGTTGACGAGACCTACTACATCTTTGATTTATCAACTTTTGCAACCTTTGCAATCGCCTCCCTTTTCGTTCGATACTCCTTGTTTCGATTTTTCACCCTCGAATTCACTCCGCCGTGAATTCAATCGCCGTGTCCCTTCGTTTCGTAACACAAATATTTCCGATTAACGAAGAGCGACGTTCGATAAATTATTCATGGTCCAATTACGACGATTGTAACTTTATTTCGAGAACGATTTTATCGAGTTCCTTTTCGGTTTGTAAAATTTAACACGGGAGACTAGATAGATAGACTTCGATAGAATACTAAGATAAGGTATTTTAAATTTTATTCGAGTTCGAACTGATTTTAAATTTTATATGTATTTGTTTGAGTTTTTTTTTTTACGTTAATGTGAAAAGTAAAAAAAAAAAAAGAAAATAAATTGTAATTTTTCTTCCTTAAGGAATTGCTGTTATTGAGGATTGAGAACGAAAATGTGGCGCGAATCAATCGCGTGATTCTCCTCTTGTTGGAAATTAAACGATAGTTCGAGTAATCTGAGACACTTGAGATTCTGGTTGGTGCAGCGTTAACCGTGGTATTCTTGGTTACGTGCATCAAGAGGCGAAGTTTAGCTTGCGTATAATAACGTTAAACAGCGATCCGGAAACAACGAAGAGAGCGAGGACTCGGTGGAATTTTCATAATTCAAGCTTGTAAACGTTGTTATTTGCCTTTGTGTATCGGGCGAAAGTAAAAACGAAACTATACAATCCTAAATCCGCACAAAATTCTGAAGCATTAGGAAAAGATTCGTTTTGCGCTCGATGCTCCGCTACTGAAAGTAAAAGGCATCCTTTTTACTTCTATCCGAGACGAGTTGGTTGAAATGCGCGAGTGCGAATTCACGGTTGAGACGAGAAATATTGTGGCGTCAGAAACGAAAAAATTCGTTTCCATTTACAGGATGACAAGATATTTTTCTTCAAACATTGAGCTTTAGTTGATTTTGTTGTTCTTGAAATTTCGACGAAAATAGGAGAAATATTTTAGTAATGCTTCTTACCCAAATGAAATGAATTTCTCACCAAAATTGCTAAAAATTTCAATTCTTTGTTGTAGAATTAGAATTACATGTAAAAATTCTATCCTTCTGAATATTGTAAAATTTAAAGGTAAAATTTATCTAAAAATATAAACGAATACAGGATCAAATTTAGAATCTTTAACATTAGTAAATATTACATTTCCAAAAATAAATATATTTACCATTAAATTTAATTCATCTCAAAACTTGATTAAAATTAAAACGTTATAATTCCGAAGATAATAACTTTCGGTCAATGAAAGAATGAAAGATCGAAATAGAAACGCGGAATTTTACCCTGTAAAACGCTTTTTGACTTATTTCAACTTATTTCAACTTCCGGTAGCTGAGATATTACCACGTATAAAGGAAAGATAAATTTTAATATAATCATTTATCTTAAACTCGACTAAAATCCTATTAAAATTAGAAAAACTTTGAACCATCATAACACCGAAAATAATGATTTCTCGTCAACGAATGAAAGATCATCAGAAGCGTGGAATCTTACTCTTTAAAATGCTTTTTAAATTATTCCGATACGACTTGCGGTTCCCGAGATATCGTCGTGTAAAGAAAAGGATAATTTTTAATGGTTCGCCATCTCTGTTTTTATCGTTTATTCGGGCTTCTCGCTCGCAGCTTGCCTCACTGACCTATCTTAAACTCCAAACAAATACCAGACGTGATTCCTAGAAGAACGTAGTACGCATTTCCAGGAAAGAAATGTAGGTTAGTGGGTCGCGCGGATCCATTCATAATTTTTGCGCTGTCTTAAATGTTCTGGACACTTTGAACTCTTATATCTCGGCAATCGATAGAGATATTGGGATAAAACAAAAAGTGAATTCAATGTTATAATTTCTTCTCATGTTTTTTACATATAAAGCGAAATTAATTTTGAGTGATTGTAAAATATATAGAGACTTAATTAATTTGATTTCAAGCTTTTACATTAGATTTTCGTGGACATTAAATCATAATTTCGATCGCAAAGAAAAAGAATCGATATATAGATCGCGCTTTAACAACGTGCTACGTTTTATGTATCTATTAAGAATGGTTCACGGCGAGTTTTTTCGTCCAAATTTCGTGGCCGACGTAGTGTCTGCCTGTCTGGAAAACGATTCTCAAGCTTTAAAGCGTCGCTTTTTATACCCCTTTTCCTTACCCAGACAAAGAACAAACCGTATCGTTTCAAGAACTAAGATTATGTCCTCGAAAAAATATCCCCGAGACGTTCTCTTTCCCCTTTCTCGTTATCCCGTCCGATCGTTACGCTTTATCGCGAACAATTTCAACCCTTTCGAACGATCATGTTGTGAATCACAGAAATAAATATGTTTTTTCGTTCATACCTAACTTTACATACCGAACTTGCAATTTCAAACTATTCCTGTTCTCCCCTGTTGAAATTTATTTTAAAGAAGAATATAACAGTAAACTAACAACTTTTTCTATACAACAGACAGAATAATATAATATTTCTGAGTTAAGAAATATTCCTTCTTTAAAAAAACCTTAATAATCGTTAATTTTTACATTCGATTCCCAAGTTTCGTATATTTTTGAGAATCCAACCAATTTTATCGCGAATTTCCGAATCACGGGGATAGCAAGGCAAGAACAAGTCACACATTCTTGCGAACATGGAAATGTAGCTGAAATAAACTGATTCTTATTTCTTCTTTACGCGGATCGTACACGTCGGCGAGAACACGGGACAACAAGGATGATCGAGAGAATCGAAGGGTTGTCCCAACAACCGTGAAGGAAAGATTCGCATAAAAGTCGAACAATTCGTTTAAATAACTTTTTCAGGGACACGGAATCCTCGAGTCGGATCGTTCTGGTATTTTATGACCGGTAGATCGTTTCGACCGCGGAGTTACTCTTACGATTTAGATCGCGATCTCTGTAGGAAGAAGCGCGCTTTACGTCGACACGAGCCGTTTGCTTGTAAGAAAAACACCCATATCGCCGGACGAATTGTTTGTCCGACAGTCGGAGAATTCTCGTTCCTCCGGGCTCTTCGTTCACGGTTTTTCGACCGTGACATGTGAATCGACGTTAGTCGAAAAGAATGGAGAAAAAAAAGAAAAGAAAAGAAAAGAAAAGAAAAAAAAGAAAATGAAAAATGCACATGACGTGAAATGAGTTCTAAGATGAAGGATATGGAGAGAAGGGGCATCGTGATGTTATTTTTTCTGATTACTTTTTTTTTTTTTTGCAATAATTAATGAAAAGCGTAAGAAATATTTAAGGATGAAAGATAAAAATAAGAAGAAACTACTTTCTGATTTCTCTTTCTCTAACTTCGTAGATGTCGAAAAGTAGATTAAAAAAAATAAAAAGAAAAGAAATCTCTCGATGCATCAACAAAATTCATAAAACTGTGTCAACATTTCATGGTCCACGTATTCAATAATATTAACGATATAAACGTAACACGTTTGACTAAGACTTCGATAGAAAAGTAATTTTACTCGGATCGATAGCACGAAGTTAGAAAATCGTTTCGATATTCAGAAAACGATTCTAGCCAAAGTGTTCAGAAGGATAAGGGATACGTAGAGGGTGTGTCTCTCGAGTGGAGGCTCGTTTTTTCCAAGTCTGTTTCAGAAAGAGGCCCAGCTTTTCGGACTTTTGCTCTTTCCGTCGACTAATGGCCGTTCAGTTCGTTTGAAAGCTTCGCCTCATCGAACCCCGATATTGCACGTCGGCCGCCATCGTATCGCCCATTTCTACGCGGTTTCTACGCGTGCACACGTACACGCCACCACCGACACGGATTGTCTAACAATAATCGGGACTGGTTGGTTGCTTGCTTTGTCCGCGGCCGCGGCGGGGAAATTGGCGAGAGAGGAAGATTGGCCGGCGTTAATCCCCAAAAGTGGGAGAGTTTCCGATTTCACGAATGGAGCACGTGGAAAACGCGAGTGTTTCGAGCAGCTGCGCGAACGTGTTCCACGAGACAAACATTCCGATCGTAAAATCGAAACGCTCAATCTCGAGTCTGCGCGATTAGAAAAGCTTTAATGAAGTTCCTGACCACTGGTTTGAATTCAAACCAGACACGCGGCTTAATTGAATGTTGAGCGTTTGGATTACGAGTATATACATTCCGATAGACGAGGTAGTCCGGCTCGATACGTTGCATTTTCAACGTGGTTTCAACAATCAAGATTTCCAAGAAATGGAGATCAGTGAAGAAAACTTAGACACATTTACAGAAGAAAATCCTTACTATCCTAATAAAAGTAACATTAACACCATCGTAGAAAGTAACCATAAAAGATTGAATCATCAAATCGTGGCCATCGAAAAAGCTATCGAATGAAAATATATCAGATCGATTCTCTTTCGCAACGATGATCGTGGAAGAGAGATGAATAGAAATCCAGACAACCCGGAGGATCAACGTTCGTTGGCCTCGATGGAACTACTTTTTTGTAACGAATGCGATCCATGACGCGCGTAAAAATGGGCGAACAATTTGTCAAAACGGAGCGGTCTTTGTGTTCGTTTGTAGAATAAAAAATTATCCGCGTTCTTTGACGCGTGCGCGCAGGTCAGACGTCAAGGCGAAAAGTACTCACTTTGCGGTGCAGGGGTGCGTGTTGCACGGCATCAGGGTCTTCTCTGGTCTGTTGTCGGGATCGCAATAGCTGTCATCTACCACGCTCTCGTCTGGGCCGATAGCCTTGCACACAGCCATGGCAATCTTGAAGCCTGAGAAAGGAGAATCGTATTTTAGCTCGTGATCGGAAAAAGATAAGCGAGGCTTGAAAAATTAAAAATGAAATCTTTCTTCGCGATCTTATCCAATATGTGATAATATTTTAACAATATTATTTTAGGAAATAGAAATAAAAGTAAAATTGACTATTGATTGAATCTGACGTAGTATTATTTAAGGAACTGTTTGCCGTTAACGCTAAGATTATTGTTATTCTCGTTCCAATCTAAAATGTAGAGCAAAATGTCATTGAAGTGACGTTTTTTCAATAAAGTTTTATCGTTTATAAAGCTTTTTATTTCCATCCTTGGTGGACAGGCGAAAAGATGTGTTTATAAAAATGTATGATCGCTAAATTCAGGACAATAGAGAGCATGAAATACTCTCTGTTGGACGATGAATCTCCATTTCAGAAATATATCCTCTCTAAATCTTTATAACATTTTCTACTTTACAAAAGTTGTACCTTTAACTTAATTCCGAACGTTCATTTTAAATCGTTTCAATTTTAATCGCAAAAAGGAAAAAAGGAAAAAACAGGAAAAATAAAATTCTTCGATCGACGTAACTCTCGTTACATTTTCACACTTGTTCTTCTGTCTAAAAAAACAACCAGAATCGAAATTTTTCGAGCGTCTCGAGGAGGAAAGCAATCACGACGCAAACGTTCCAACGATGATAGGTGGGGAAACGTAGTGGTTTAAGTAGCCGTTATTAATTTCGGCAAAAGGGTAAGCGTTTAACGATTCGCGGGGCTCAAAGTTCATTAGAATTCATTGCTCCCAGGTTCGATGTAAATGGACTAGCCGGCGGTGAACTAATTGTAAGTGCTTCAACCGAATGAACTTCGTAACCAACCACTCACCTCCCCCGCATGATTTTGAGCAGGCGGATATCGATTCCAAACTCCACGAGTATCGCGACTGGCAGCTCGATCCGTTTCCTCCGCACACTCCGCAGGGATCCGTGTTCTTGTTGCTGCCCACTCGCAGGTCGCAGCCGACTTTCTGAAACAGAAATCACCCAGGCTTGATTAATATTACGTTCATCCAAACCCCTCTCTTTTGACCCGTTTGTCTTCGCGTGAAATACTTATGGTCAGTGAAATACCTCGTGATATACATATATGTATATATAGGGTGATATCATTTAATTAGCATGTACCACTGACCTGCGATCAGATAATAATTGAAAATTTTTAATTCTGAATTGTAATCGATTGCAGGAATAGATGTGCAATCTAAATTTTTTGATAAAATAATTTTTTCATTTCGTAGAATAATTCTCTTTAGCAATTTAGCAATTCGTTTTTTTTTTTTTTTATAAGTAATACGAGTCAAAAATAAATGAAACGTAGAAAGAACAAATTTAAAAAATACAAAGAAGAAGTGGTTAAAATACAAAGAAGTGGTTAAAACCTTCAGCTATTATTTACATTGCATATTTAGATAGAATTACTTGAGAAAAATTGGCCTGTAAAAATGTCTTTTCCAGATACGAACGTTCCCGCAATTAAATTTATCAACGTCCTCGCAATAAGTCTTCTTCTCTTCGAATGAAAGGACATATAAAAGGGTGGAAATCATTTCCACCATTGATTTTTGATTGCCTCGATTCCGGATCGTTGAGTATCGATGCGTGATCAAGTAGATAAGTGACAAATAGGTCGTAAATCGGTACTTAAACTCGAAGGTACACGTTAAATCTCCGTTTAATAGCGACTCAAAGAGATTGGTCCTCGAGGGCGTATAATCTAAAGACGATCCTGCTCTATGTCACGCACTCTTGGGAAGAGGTTCGATTTGCAATAAACTAGAACTCTAACTCGGTCTCTTGGTATCGGGCCGGTAAACAAATTTTCGTCTCGATAATGTAAAACACGTCGTTTTCTCGTCAATCTCTTCTCCCTCCCATCTTTTCTCGAAAAAGGAAGGAACGATTCGTACACGTCGATCAACGCCTCACTCTTATCCGTAAATAGAATACGAATAGAATGATAGCAGGTGTCGTGGAATTCTAGTCTGTCGAAGCGTCAAAGTGTGAAAGATTAATCAATGAAAGACGAAAAAAGATGGAGTGCTGGATGTCACTCTCCAGATTCTGAATGCGACTGATGCTGCTGCTACCGTTGCTACTGCTGCTTGTCCTGTACAAATGCAGCACCACTTTTCAGGAATAAGGAGGTGGAGAAAAAAAGAAGAAGAAAAAGAAAAAGATGAAGAAGAAGGAGGAGGAGGAGGAGGAGAAGGAAAAAAAAAGAAAAAAGAAAAAGAAGCTGACGTCGATTCGTGACCTGGCTCGGACGGCAAACTGATTTGTCATTCAGGTTGCATGGAGGTTTGCTCCGAGGTCGGGAAGTACATTATTCATCCCTTATCCGGGCGAGAAGAGCGAACGAAACTGGTGGTAAAGGTGCCAGCCAAAGACGAGACGAGGAAGGATATGGATGGGGGGATGGTAAAAAGGGAAGACACGAGCCTAACGAGATCCTGGTCGATCTGGGACGGGGTTAATCCAAGATTTTTGTCAGATTACGATCGATTTGAATAAATGTTTACATCGGATCACTTTTGTTACCCTACCCCCTATTTTTTACTCGAAGTTATCTAAAATTTAATAATCCAAATTTTTTTTTCTATTAATATAAATTTGTACAATATAAATTCCTGTGTGCTGACTGAATTCAATATACCTAGATGCGATACTTTGAGCATGTTCTTCAAATGCGATACCAATATGGGTGGAATGGAAGAGCGCATGTAGCGAGTTTCCGAATGGCTAATATTCAATTGGAACGATCGAGCAAGAATTTTTCGAGAAATTCTGTCAATTCCCTGTCTCGCTTAAGCAAAAGCTGGTGCAACGTGTCTTTTCATCGGGAACACGTTCGCTGTACGCCGGCATTTAGAAACAGCATTTACACTTCAGCGAAAATTCTTCGACAGTTGGAAGGTACGTTCCATTCGCGGAATTCGCGTTGGAAGAAACTTTGGTGAATCATGTTTCTCAACGAGAAGAAAAGAAAAAGAAATTTAAAAAAGGACCAAAAAAAAAAAAAAAAAATAACATCAAAGAAAAGAAAAGAAAAGAGAAAAAAATGGATTGGAGCAAAAGAAGCGAGAGAAAGGAGCGTTGGAGAAGAAAAATAAGAGGAAAGGGAAAGACTAAAAAGAAAGAACTTAAAGTTTACTTAATCGCGCGAACTATGATTTAACGGAATCATCGAATAGCGTTGCAATTTTGGTTCGAAAAAAAGGAAAAGGAAAAAAAAAAAGCTCGAACAGCCTCGAGAAATCGAATAGAAACCGAACGAGCGTTCGGTGATACCGTGACAGGACGAATTGAGATTTAATTTTACACGAGGCCGAATTCGTTCCGCGACCTTTCTTTCCACCGTGCATCGATGCACGTGTGTATCCATTGTACAGCCGTGTGAGAGGTCGTGTATACCACCGGGATTTCGAATGGAGTTTAAATCTGGGTGATACGCGATTTTAACAACACGAAACAACCTTTTTCCCCCATTTTTTCAACCATCCTTGTTTCCCTTTTTTTTTCCCTTTCATTCCGATGGTTCGACTGTTTAACCTCGGTTACGAAATAGGATCTCAGGACTCGTCGTCGTTCGAAGAGCGGTTTTAATCGAGCGCACTCGAGCCTCGACGACGACGATAAGATTTCCGATCATTTTTATTTCACGAAAGTTTGAATCGAAGCAAGTATAACCAACGAATAAATCAAATTACAAATACTTTGAATACGCGAGTTATTTCAAAGCTACTTTTTCAAATGCAATCTACATTTCAAATACACTTTTCGGTCGGAGGTTTTTGAGTGCTTTTGAAAAAAAAAAAAAAAGGAAAAAGAAAAAAGGAAGATAGAAATCAATCGAGCGATAGAGGCGAAGAGAATAAATTGAAAATAACTCTTTATCTCGAAACCCCATTTTGGACGTTTAAAAAATTCATAGAGATTCTCTCCCAGTTGGCGGATCTCTAGCGGACCAAGATTTTTAGATTCTGTCAGGGACAGGTCGCACGCGTATGACATATTCACATGTACGTACTGTGTCCACAGCACACGCGAGCGCGAGCGCGCAAACAGAACGGAAGAGACACACAATACGGGCGCTCAGGATTAGGTTTACTTTGCCCGAGAAGTGGAAACCTGGAGCGGAGCCCCGTAATTGAAGGATAGGACCATCGAAGCAACCGGTTATTTCTCTAGGTAAACAAGCCAAGAGAAACGGGCAGCCGGCCGGGCGTGCAAAATGAAATATCGTGGAACTTAAACGGCGCCGATCTCTTCCTCCCTCCCTCTGGCTATGCTTACTATCCACGCTCGATCCGTGCAAATAATACCTTTAAATCCAGTAAATACCTCGCCAATGGCCTCGTCTATGAAACGAGAGATATGAGCACTCGTTTTGAAACACCACCGAGGTGGTATTCATCGGATTCCGCGGAGAAACTCGCGAATAAATTAACACGCGCTTCTTTCTTTCGAATGGAATTCCATGTTTGACGATCGAACGCTTAGAAAGGAGGATAATTATTCTCCTGTGGTGTTCTCTATCCCTCTGCTATGGCTTTCTAAATATTTACCTATTCCACTTGGATATTCCGCGTGTAAAAAAGAGGGGAGAAAAAGAAAAAAAGAAATCTCTCGCCCGACCGTCACTTTATCCAATCGTTAGATAACAAGATCCTGGCCGAAAGGTAAATCGCTCGCGATTTCCGCGACTTTTCGTCTCTCGGCTATTTCGTTACGTAAATTTGACTGGAGTTCAATTATTCAAACCGGCTTTCAAGGTTCCATTCGGCAGTCGGCACACCAGCCCTTGCCATCTACCGGAGTTAGCCCATTACGCTCAATACACTCTTTTCCCCGCCACGAGCGCCTCATCCCCCTTCTCACTTCGCTATCCACCACCACTCCATCCCAGACCTTCTTTTCTCTACGTTCGTTTCTGCCTTTTAACATAGTTTCCCGGGGAGAATGGGGATTTCCCGGGGTGCAGACGGACTCGATCACTTTGTCCGCCTTATTCTGCCCGGTTTCACTGAAACGATGGAATTTATCATCGAGCCACCGAATCGCTTCTATATCCTTAATTTCTTTTTTCTTTTTTCCCCCCTCCCCTCCTTTTTTTCTTTTCTTTTTATTTGCATCGAGTTGTTCTTTAGAACGAAGAGGATATTATGAGCCTCGTATTGTACCGGAATAATCTTCAGAAGGGTACTCGTGATTCTTTCTCTCTCTCTCTCTCTCTCTCTCGAGACACGATTATGCAGAAATCAAGGGTATTGCATTTATCTTCTATAACTTTTGTGAATAAATTATTATAATTATGAATTTTCTTCATCCTATTATTCTTTATATCCCCTTTTATTGATCTAATTTATACAACAATATGGACAAAAAGTTGGAAGTTTAGGATTATTCATAGAATGTTTAAGAATTTTATTAATCCTTTGCTTCCTTTTTCCTTTATCGTTTTCGAGAAGAATAAAGAAGAGAAATAATTCTCTAAAATTTAAAATATATATATCGTTTAATAATAAAATCTATAATATTTATAGATTAAAATACAAGTTTAACAAGGCCAATATATCGAGCTGAAATAAACAGTGTTAAACATTAGCGAATAAATTTGTACGATGACAATAAAATTTGCGTGTACTCAAACTACCGAAACACGAAAATACTGGAGCAAGGGTAGGATAATATGGCGGGTCGATTTGCGTTACAAGTTATCCGAGCGTACACGTGGAAAAGCGCACGAAACGAAACAATTGGAGGAATTTCCGTGGATGGAAGACAAACTCTAATGAGTCGCGATAGCACAAAAGCGTCGTGCACTTATCGAGCGTGTCCAATGCGAGGGAAGGGAAAGCTCGTCGGAGCTTTAATAATGCAAAACCAGTTTGCGTTTACCAGAGCTCGGTTAGTGCTTAATTACGTGGACCCGTCTGCTGATTAGATATTGTCCTTCCAACTTCGCCGCCACTGTCGTCGCTATGAAATCCCGTTAATTATTTCTTGACGCCCCCTTAGACGTACTCGTGATTCGTCCCCGCTTCTCTAGTTTCTTCCTCCATCCCCTCCCGATACACGAATTTCTTGCGGATGCATAGTATTTTCTCGATTCTTAATTCCTACGTTATAATTTCCTGGAATTTTGATTCTTTTAAACGTGAAAATTTTTCCATTTACACGTTACATTATTTTTCAACGAAAATGTTTAACAATGGAATTTTTGCGATATCCTTCGAAGGCATCCATCGTGTTCAGTCACTCGGTAGGCGAAGCGGTAAACAATATCAATATTGGTAAACGTTACCTTCTGTTGGTGTTCCCAGACTTAAGGCAGCTTGCAACTACTTAAGGGGTTAATCGACGAAAGTAGCTCCCTCTCGACATAGCCTGTTTCTCGGTACACAGAGTCGTCAACGGTGTAAAGTAAGATCGAATTAACTTAATGGACGAGAAGTGCGGGCGTCTCGACGCACCCATGGTAAATATTGGCCGAGGACGAGCGGACGACGCCTCGTTAGCTCGCATTTTCCTTGGCCGAAGAAGAAAAAAAAAAAAAAAAGGAAAAAAAGGAAAAATGTGCGCACAATCATGGTTAGAAAACTAAAAGTTATAAATAAGTTTTGGAGTCCGGTTGAGAAGAAAGAGAGGTTTGGTAAAGAGGATAGAGGGCACACTGTATGGCTCCACCTGAGCAAATTTCTTCGAGTTTCCACCGGAACTTTCTTCCTCCTCGCCAAGTTTCGACAAGGGATGCAGCAATTGCGACTTAATTCTTAACCGACGCTTTCACCGTAATCTCGAGCCAAGGGCCTGGGCTACGATCGCATATTTAAAAGTCCGATCTCTGCTTTTAATTAATCATCTCTCGAAGTCGACTTGCCTCCAGAATTCCTCGAGTCGGAATATAAATTAGGAAGTTGTTTCGAAGAGGTGAAGAAGGAGATGTGAATGGATGGGGAAAAATAATGTTCGTTAAAGGCGACAGTTTTTATGCGTAAATGAAAAAAGTAAAGCTCGTTGTAAAAATGTAAATACGCATTTACATATAAAAATACGTGTAACGTTGGAGTAATGTTCGTGTAATGATGGAATACGGACCGTTTTTCCGATAAACGTACACATACCGACTTCGATTTTCTTCTCTCCGTATGTGTTGTTCCGTATATTTTCAAAGTGTTTACAAAAAAAAAAAAAAACATATGGTTTCGTAAAACGAAAAGCTAAAATCTTGATTTTATTCCGCGCGAATTTATCCTGTGCAAATTTCAAAGATACATCTGCATCCGAGATAAAATGAAGTCGGCTTTGAACGTATTACGTGTACACAAACGAGTTAAACGTATATTTAGTGACACGATGAAAACTTGCAAATGAAACCACCAAAATTTTATTAAATTTCATGAGCGCGTGTAACATTGAATAAAAACGCCCAATAAAAATTAATTTTTCCTCTCTTGTGTTTATTATTTTCCAAAAAACCGATATTTCATTTATAAAGGTTGTCATTACCAGCACGCTACTTTCAAAATTCTCCCGATAATCGAGATAATAATTTTTCGAATTTACCAACGAATATACCAACTATGGCTACGGTGCACATATGCCTGACTAACGACAGACCTATATCACTGATCGATATTCGTCGAGTACTTTTGATATAGACAAATATTTCTATTTTTAAAAAAAATATCATGTATCCAACTTAACTGTATCGCAACAACAATTTATATGTACAATGGACTGTTTATTTGATCAATGTTTGATATTATATTATTAACTATATATTATCAACTAAATTATGAGCGCATATGTAAAATGTATGTCAAAAGTTCATATATGAAAAAAGTTCTGGCCAATAAATTTAATTTATAAACAAGTAACAAAAATAACAAAAAATATACACGGGGAAAGACATTTTAACCAATGAAAATATTTTCAACATTATTACGCTTGTGCTAATAATTAACGTGGAAGGAACCTTTAATTAACAATGGCAATTGTATTATTCTATGGCTACGCCGTGTATCCATGGGTAAATAAGCTGTTTCAATATGTATACATATGCATCGTATTTATATTAAATATTGATGTAGCTCTCGCTAATGTTTCACATAGTCTAAATAATATTCGAAGCGAAAGCATCCGTTGGTATCGCTGATATTATTATAACGAAATATGATAAGCCGTTCCTCGTTATCAATTGTTTAATTGTCAAAACGTTGAAACGGATTTATTTTCGTCAAACGAGCCTTGAGGCTTAAAAAAAAAAAAAATCGCGTCTGAACGATGAACGTAGGAATGGACGTTGGAATGGACGAATCGGTAATATTTTCAACGTAGCACATCTCTGTTACGAAATTACGCGACACGGGAGGATAATTTGTTTGCGATAAATTTAATTAAAGATAATAAGCGTGTCGGGGGTTGTCCATTATTGTTAATTAATTTAAAGATTGGAACATGTTACAATTAGTAACAAAATGAAGTTTCATACCGTTCCGAGAATACAGTATCAAATATTGACAGGGAATACGACGGGTCGATACGGAAATTTCTAGCGTGCCACGTCATTCGAATGGTTTGCATTCATTATACGAGTCGAGTGAATCTCCAGGATTTCGGACTATTATCAACTCGATAATTGTTTAACTCATTAACATTGTCACTTTTTGTTTCTTATATCTTTTATATAATTCTATGGATCCACTTTCAATATTGATTTAATTTTAAGATTTAACTATGACGAAATCGAATAATATGATAATACGTTTCTGGTGAAATTATCCAAATAAATATGATGATTACAATTTATGTTATATTTATAAAAGTAAAATACGTACATTGACATTATTTCTTAACTAATTTGAAGATTAATTTATAAGTTGGAATTTCAATCGGATATATCTCAGTTAGGATTTAGTATCATCCAGTAACTTTTTCTTTAAATATTCATAATTTCATTTCATTCCAGTTCTTTATGAATTATTTATAAAAGTTCTTCTTTTAATGACAAATCAAATAAACTAATCAACAATTTCTCGATTTTACTTTACTATCGACTCTCTCTTTTTCCTTTATTTTCATTATTTTTTTTTTAAATATTCCAAATATTTTCCAATTAATTCGCGCAATCGAATTTATACCGATACATCGTTGCACTATGCTCGATTAAACGCGGGCCAGAAATCGCACTCGGACGTGCGTAAAACACAAGATTGGATGGAGTGCGGTTTGGCAGGCCGAAACTTGGAAACTTTCGCGCAAAGTACAAAATATGATGGTACGGAAGGGATACTGACACGGCGCAAAAATTGCTCTCTCCCGAGAGATAAACGTTCCGGTTCCGCTGGCGCCAACTTCTTTCGAATCGAACGAATTCACGACTCACTTATCAAATTGGATTTTAACTAAACTCAATTACACGATTTCGCCGAGGAAAATTAATACGCAGCGATATTTTATTCTTTAAATCCTCGAGTTAAAAAATAAATATCCTTTTAAAGTGCCGAATCAATATTTTCAAATAACTCTGACCCTTTCGGTTATCTTGATATCTTTATGTATGTAAAATAAAGTAGCAAATAAAAATATACCGAAATAGATATGTGTCGAATAATTGATATATAAAAATAAAATGTATAGAAAAAGATAATAATCGTAATCACTCACCATGCATTCACCATTGATGCAAACATCCATGCTGTCGGTGTAACATTTGGTGCCGTCCTCGACTTTGTCCGCGAGTTGAACCACGATTGTTTCCTCGCTGTCGAGCTGCAAAGCGTCGGTGGCGTCGTGCGGAAGTGTCTTTTCGACGGACGTTTCCTGCCTGAGCCGATTCCCCGTGTTCTCCACCGATTGCTCGCCACGACAGATCAAAGCGCACGGCCTGCTAGGATCGTAATGTGGATACCATTTCAGCAATTGTCCGCTGTATGGCACATCGTCGAACGCGGCGCATTGCTCTGACCGGAAATCGCTCGGATTTTCGCAGGGCTGCAACCAATAGCGCGGATTTTCTCTTGGAAACATGTTTTCATTCTATGATGTGGCGTTGATACGACTTTAGATAGATTCGATCTGGTGTTAAATGGATTGTCAAAGTGTTAGCGTGCAGAGATAATTTTGATGAATATTTTGAAAGGCGTAGCGTCACATATTTATAATTATTGGAGAAAAGAAGTATTTAATTTAAAATAAAATATTTGTTATATGATTTAATGTTAAAATTATTAATAAATCGTGAAAATTAAATATTTATCATTGAAATTCATATTTTTGTCGATTCTTGTATCATCGAGCTCTGTATCATCTCGTCCACATCGCGTCTTAATAATTTTAAGAATTATTCGGCTACAACGTGATATCTATCTAGTGTTTCGCCATTGCTCCCACTTTGGTTGTTCGTGAACCGTTAAACGAAGCGTGCCAGCTTGTCTGGAAGTCGTAGAGGATTTTCACAGGGCCGAAGGCAAAGGATTTCGACGAAGCAGATCATTACCCAATTAGGTCGAACCGTTATCGGTATTTTAAGATGTCCACTTTCCAAAGCGATCAAGCCGCGTTGATGTCCTCTTTAAGCCCAGCAAACGATCGAATATTAGAGACTGCAATTTCTCGATATCTTAAATTATATTCAATCATATATTCCTAGTTTCTACAAAATTATTCTTACAATGCACTCGCACAATATTTCCTATTGATCTACCGATTAATTAATAATCCGCGCGATAATCCGTTTATTTTGTTAATCATTTCACGGCTCAATTACTCGTGTTCGTTCCTTTTTTCTTTCAATAATCATATATCACATGAAGAGAAAGATGAATTAGTGGACAGAATGAAAATTAATTTGCGCGATTATTTATATAGATTATCTATTTTAGCGATGAAAAATCAAAAAAGAAAGATCAAAAGGTTGTAGGTAGGTGTTTCGTTTCACGATGTTCGATCATTCAGAATCGAGTTGGTCAACAAAATTCCACGCTACCAATGGCCGCTAATTATCGTCGTAATTAACGGGCTGGTAATCAGATCGGATATGACTCGAGGGCGTTCCAATTGTAGGTTTTTGCCGGCGTGCCGAGCTCACTTCGATCTACGACGAGCGAACGAGCCGCGATGTAAATTGACCAAAGAGAAGGGTTCATTATTGTCGACCGTTCCCCATTCACCGTTGTTTCCATTTTCCAGCCATTCAACCCGGAAAAAGTTGAAGAAGGATCGAATTATCGAAGGATCGTTTATGATTAATAATTAACGATCCTCTCTTCCTATTTAAGTCGATGAATGGCTGTTAGTTAATGCGATTTTAACGAAATAATTTTCTATTTCGTCAAAATCGATCGATTCATTTTGCTTGTCTCCTTTTTTACTTCGAATATACATCGAGGAAATCGTCTTCCGTATTCGTGCACTGGAAGAATAGTTGGTCGGTATCCTATTAGAGAATATTCCCAAGATGCAATCGAGTTATTTATCGATAGATCCTAACGCAATGAGAAGTTTCGAATTCGAATAGACACGAAACCAAGTTGCATTTCCTGCATCTTCAACTACTAAGTACAAACTAAGTTAGTTTGATGGTACAAATAATAAATCTGGAAAGTATCGAATTTTCACGCGATAGTATCAAATAATTTCATTTTAAAACGAATCAGACCTAAAAAAAAAAAGAAAGCTATAAATATCAATGAACAGATGATGTTAAACAAATAAGAGGAAATATTCCGTAATTTTTTAAAAGAAACGCGTGAAAAGATTGTTAAGAAACGCGCAACTTAAACTCTGTTCCCAGTAATTATTAGATTCGATGAAAATGCACGATACGGGCAAAGAGATGTAGAATGACGACGATTTCGTGGCGACTCGTGCACTCGCGTGATGTTTCGCTGTTGACGGCATGCTGGTCGATTTTCAACAACGGGGACATCAAAGTTCCGTATTACTTTCCGGGTTCTAACGAAGCTGATTAACAACGGTGCCAATGGTAATTAATTAACGTGCCACGCCAACTATAATTTAGTTAGAACAGCATCCAGTTACTCGTGATTGCATAACTGTTCCTTTCTTTCGACATATCGAATAAATTTGCTCTAAACTTGATTGCATACTCGAGCATAGTTTATCAATTGAAATTGAACGTTCGATATTCGATTGTTTAACTTGCCAAATATACAGTTAACAAATATATAGTTAGATTGTTATTCATCCTCGAATGTAAAACACGTTTGAAAGATAAGAAAATTTTTGCTTTCAAAAATTTTATTTCTCCGTTAATTTATTCCTCTCAGGAGGTTCGCGTTTGATCGATCGAACGTCCGTCTATAAATTATGAGTGTCATATTCATCGTCATTTTGATAATCTGTTTTATCATTGCCGATATCATAGTCTTGATTAAACGAGTGCAAACGATGCGACAGGGGAGAAGTGTGCTCGTGAAATCGATGTTATAGAACGTTTTCGACGTACAGGGAGAGACTCGCGGGTGGTAACGTTACTCTTTTTTTCTTTTTTTATTTTCCTCGTACAATAGCGTATTTTAGGCGCGAAATACCTAGCTCCCCGTGTCATTCTTTTTTTCTCTTTTTTCCTTTTTTTCTTTTTTTCATTTTATTTAATTACTCCATCCAGTTACCAACGAAATCGTTTAATCCGCATTTCTTTTTAAAAAAAAAAAAAGGGAAGAATGGAATGGAATAATCTAGGTTATCTTTAATTATTCTTAATAATCCTTAATAATGCTCAATCCTTCCATTAATATATAATTATATTATAATGACAGGCTCAATTAAACACGAGGGATTAAGCGAAATAATAATTTTTTTTTTTCAACGATATCCATTTATTCGAATGGATTTCGAATTTATTCTGTAACTTTAATCGGACGTAGATGAATGAAGAAATATCGTTCAAATTTGAAAAAAAAAAAAAAAAAAAAACAACTTTTGAGTAGAAATTAACTCCATCAATGGGAAATCTTTCTCCACGATACGTTCGCGCGAGCATATCGGCTTTTCCAATTTTTTGCAAGTAAGTTTTTCCGTGAGAAATCCTCCTCGTTTTATTTCATTTACGTTTGTCCCCTTTACATTTGTCTCTTGCCACCCCACTTTCACCCTTTCGCATCTTTCTTCCCGTCTACAACTCTCTCGTGTAGAACAGTGGCATTGAATTACCCGACCATCCATCATTTCCCCTATACGAAATGCAAAACGCTTACTTACGGGACACCTGTTACGTACTAGTCACCATCGATCGATAAAAAAATTCGATACACGCCATCGAAAGAAGAAATTGTCGATACTAGACTCCGATAATCGTTACACGAAATCGTAAATATGGCAATTTTTTGTGATAAGTAGAAGACAGACGATGGTATCATAAAAAGATAATTGCTTCTCTAGGATAATCGTGCGGTAAAATATATTTATGTCTCCTTTTTAAAGGAATTATAACAAAGATTTCAACCAGTCCTTTGTATTTCCTACTTATTTTAATTCTTTTTTTGATTACGTCAACATTTCCATCTCGTTCGTCGTACACTCAGAAAGCTAATTGACCTATCTTGAAACTCTTTACGACATTCTATCGCGGTAACGTTTTGTACGTAACTCGCTGGAAGAATTTTATTTTGAACTTGTTTCGCATTCAGAGACGGAAAGACAATACGTTTCAGCGTATTACAAAGAAGATCTTTTTCTTTTTTTTTTTTTATCCACGAGACACGGGAGACGGGTTAAACACAGTACACGAATAGTACGTTATTCGTGGATATTATTATGCACGCTATCTTTCATCACATTATTTCAAAGAATTTCCATTCGTTGTTTTTCATCTCGCGTCAGTGAAAGTAATTTTCACCGGTTAAAAGAGGGTGACAGTCGCCTCCTTCCGGTCGTTCACTTTTCCTACGTTCACGCAGACACGCCTCGCTATTTCACCCCTTGGCGAGGAGCTTTAAATTCTTAATCCACCGGGATTATATCACAATTATGGCAATAAGAGTTCCGCTGCTACCTCATGTTAGCATATTATTATCGCTTCCGTCGTGATAATTATTAAATACAAACAGTTCTCGACGAGATGGAGCTCCGGGCCACGAGTCAAAAACAAAAGACTTGACTTCCCTGCGTATTAACGATCGATCAAATTTGCCAGCCTATTAAATCTTCATCTCGATCTTTAAATTATTCCTTCATTTTCAATATCACGTATCGCGTTTTCGATTAATAAACATTCTCCGTGCATTCCAATTCAACGTTCTTCACACGAATTATTTATTCTAAATTTATTAATTGATATATATTTTTTGACAATGATACCTAAAATATCGTCATCACATATTATTCTTCCAACTTTTAAAATTGCCTTCGTATTACAATACCACCTTCCAACGTAAAATTGATCAAAAGATTACAATTACAACTAACACCATTCGACTCAGACTTCTTTCTTCGTTCGATGTAACAGTGGATGGAAGATATCGCAGAGAGGTATTGTGGCAAATGACCGGCGGGTATTGGAGGAAACGATGGATGTAGAAACGTTCTCGCGTAATGAGTAGTTGAGATTCCTTGTTAAGGAGCGTCTCAACTCTGCAGTGCGGCTTTCGCGGTTTCGCATAGTTTCTTCCTCTTTCCACGTTTCGCAGGTGGCCGTCCATCCACTCACCCAAGTCTCGCCATCCGGAAGCGGGCTTCGCCATGCTACATCCGTCCCAACCAACGACCAACGGTCGAGGATCCTGTCCAACGATATATCATGCATCGCGAGTGCACCGAGTTTTCGAGTTTGGTTTGTATATCGCGCGCCGAAAACTTTCTCGCTTGAATAATTTCGCTGCCGGATTAAAAATTGAGCGAGGTTTTTTTCGCGGATGGGTATAAAAACCGGGACGAGAAGAGAGAGAGAGAGAGAGAGAAGACGATGGGGAAAAGATGGTTCTCGTTTCATTTTTAACGCGATGCTTCCTCTCCCTTTTTTTTCTTCGAGG